ATAATTTTACAAACATTTTTGTCAAAAGTTCTTAGTGTTTGACCAAAAATGACATAAAACAATGACATTTTGACAAAAAATTTTAAACAGAAAAATTTGTAAAAATGTTTGAAACGTGCACTACTGTTATGAGAAACATGCAAGCAAAGATACAATTTTGAAAAATAATTTTACAAACATTTTTGTCAAAAGTTCTTAGTGTTTGACCAAAAATGACATAAAACAATGACATTTTGACAAAAAATTTTAAACAGAAAAATTTGTAAAAATGTTCTCTAAATGCCCTAATTTTATGAGAAACATGCAACAAAAGATAACATTTTTAAAAATAATTTTTCAAACATTTTTCATCAAAATTGTTTAGTTTTTGAATAAAAATTTCACATTTTGAGAAAGCTTTCTACACAAATATTTCTAAAAATGTTCTCTGAAATTTCACATTTTGAGAAAACTTTATACACAAATATTTCTAAAAATGTTCTCTAAATGCCCTAATTTTATGAGAAACATGCAGGAAAAAATAAAATTTTGAAAAATAATTTTACAAAATTTTTCATCTAAATTCTTTAGTTTTTTACCAAAAATGACGTTCACATTGACAGAAAATTTCATAACATTTTTTAAAATGTTCTCTAAAAGCCCTAATTTTATGAGAAACATGCAAGAAAAGATCAAATTCTGAAAAAAATTGTCATCAAAATTGTTTAGTTTTTGACCTAAAACAGAAAAAAGATCAAATTTTGAAACATAATTTTACAAAACTTTTTGTCAAAATGTTTTAGTTTTTGACCAAAATGACACCAAAAGTTCACATTTTGACAAAAGGTTTGTACAAAAAACTTGAAAAAATGTTCTCTAAATGCCTTAATTTTATGAGGAACATGCAGGAAAAGATAAAAATTTGAAAAATAATTTTACAAAAACATTCGTCAAAATCTTTTAGTTTTTGACCAAAAATGACACAAAACGTTCAAAATAAGGATTTTACCAAATTCCAAATATGTATTTATCCAAAAATTTCTTATTTCAATAGTTGACTTATTGACATATTCTATGAAAAAATAGAAATATATTTGTAATACATTTTAAAAAATTAAAAAATAAATACTTAATTATAAATAAAAAATAAATACAGTGTATGCCAGAAGTTCAGAAAATATATATAAATAATGCACTGACAAGTTACATTTAAACCTTTATATGTAAACATTATCTGAACCATAAACATCATGCACACCTAAAATTTTTACATTCACTACAGATATTTAAGATATATTTTTCTAATGTTTGCAGGCTTAAAGTGCATTAACAAATACAAATGTCAAATTCAATTCTATAATGTCTCTTTTGTAATTGCGGTTCATGGCCTAATGCCGTACTCTTCATATACTATGTATATCGTACTTCATTTAAAGAAATCCATTGTATTGAAGAGTGTCACTAGAAGTAAGTCTGGGTATTGAAAGGCCTTCAGGGAGAGCTGAAAATAAATCCAGGTTTCATCACCACCTCGGTAACAATTACGTCAATCCCCCAATGCCACTATTTAATAGAAACACGAGGGACCGTCCTGAAGTACTGTCTAATCCTGGTGTTGAAACTGTGTGCAATAAAGTTCAATGCACTGATGTCTTTTATGTTCAAACTCTCAGATTATGTTGGCTGAAGCTCAGCACTGCTGTGAAATGAGCCGTAGAGAGAACAAGTCAATCTTCTCTTTTATTGTTGAATAGAAATTTCACGAACAAATATAACTTACAGTGAAAAGACCAATACAGCAAACAAAGGCTGGAAACATCACGTCTGTCCTCAGCAGCCACATCTGTCAGATCTTTGGAACGATGTGCACATGTGAACAAGGTAAAAACTGACACAGAGGGTTGAATATCCATCAACAAACACAGTGACATAGACCGGTGCACACGACACATTTAGATGAGTAATCACAACTGCTCCCTTCCCCTTAAAACAGCAACTGAACGCAGGAGTAAGGCAAATGTAAATATTGGATCTTTATTACATAATAAGAGTGTTCCATGATAAGGGGCAGCCTTTTGTTTGTGTCATAAAAAGAACACAATGAAAAACTGCTGCCAGAGGGAACACATCTACAGACACACCACAGTGACAGAGGACCCGTCTGTGCACAGTTTCCATTTCAAACCATTCGTTTTCTGCATTATCACATGATTGGATTTGACAACGTAGAAACAAAGTAGCATGATAAAACACAGGGGACAGCCACAAAACTAAGGAACAACCAGAAACATAGAAAGTGCAGGCGTTAACACCCAGACGACTGAAATGATTCACATACAGTAATTGTGTGCATACTGAGTTCCCTGATCACTACTACCAGTGAAATGTATGGGTTGTGGACAACAGGCAATGGTTGTAAAAAAAAAAAAAAAAAGTCTACACAACTCTATGAAAGTGATGCTTATAATGTGTCCATTTCAGTTTAAACTAACTCAAATATAATGAAAAAAAAAACTACATTTGGTCGTAAAGAGAAAAAAAGCCAACCTATTATAAGTTTTGATGCCACAATTACATTCAAACAAATGCGAAATTGCAGTCAGCACAAACCTGCCATCAAATGAATCCACCATAACCAGCTCTATTTACTGAGTTGAACCTTAGATCAAACGCTACGCTGTGCTAAGAATTATAATCCCCATTCTAAGGCATTTGAAATGTCATGTGACACAGTGAAGACCGTCACCACAGAGTGGAAGAAAAAAACAACACACAACAATAGTGACTTAGCACAGAGCCAGACATCCCAGTGGAACTGTTGTAAAAACAAAAACAAACCTGGTTATGGAAGAAGCATGGAGGCCCCTGTTAGCATTAAAGTACACATCATAAAAGGAAATAGCCGGCAGGTGCAAGTCACTGCTGCTCTTCATCTGTGGAGACTACAAGAAAGGGTTTCAAAAATGATATGCATGACGACAAAAAAAAAGGAAAACATCCAGGCCTGGCTGAGGTCGCCAGTTCTCCATCTTTCTTATGTCACTGCGAAAGAGTGAAGAACGGTGGAGGCAGCATCATATTTTGGGATTTAGTCACAAAAGGAAACAACAGTGGCATCAAACCTCCAGGATACGATAAAGAATGTACACGAAAAAGCATTCATTTTTAGTTTTCTTCCAGAAAAAGTTCTTTGTTTTGGTTTGAAATGTACGATGGTGTCTGAGTGTGACACTAAGGATGAAAAAATATCTAAAATAATGTGAATAAAGTTGTAATATTAGGAGAAAAAAAAACATATGTTGAGAAAAAATGTAACATTATAAGAAAAATGTCCCAAAGTTACGAGAATAAAGTTATAAGTGTATGTTGTGTTTTTGAGAAAAAAAATGGTAACATAAGTTTACGGGAATAAAGTCGTAATATTACGAGAAAATAGTTGTAAATTTATGAGAAAAAAAATATTACCTTACAAGATTGAAATAAGTATACGTTACAAGAAAATGTAGTAATAGGTCTATAGATTATTAGGTATTAGGTCTATAGGTCTAGTCTATAGACTTAAATTAACAGTATAAAGTCGTAACTTTTTAAGAAAAAATTCATATATAAATGATTTTCTCATCATTGTAGATATTTTTTTATCCTAAATCTATTATCGTCATACTCATCGTAGAAATGTACACTTTGGTCTAAATAAAAAATAAAATAAATTATAAAAAAAAAAAGTTTGCATCATTGTTACACATGGAAAACCCTAGTGCTATAAACAGTTGTGTAGACTTTTTCAATCCACTGCATACATGAGAACATGCATTCAAACACTCAGATAATATATATATATGTAGATATATATTTATATATATATATAGATGTATATATATATGATTTCAACATGTGGCAACACAAGCCTAGAGCGATAAAAATAGATATACCTATACTTTATATTAGAACTTCATTTTTTCCCAAGTGTGGAATCAAAAAAAATAATGAATCGTAAAATTTAAGCAACATTCTCTGATGACGGACGAACACCTCAGGCACTGTAATAAACTCTGTAGTAGAGCGTTTTGTTTCGCCATAGTGAGTAGGAGTTGTCAAACTTCAGCAGGTAGGTTCCTTCACCTGGGAAATCGTGGCTGCCCCCGAAGACGGTCAAGTGACTGTCCTGACGGTACACGGGTAACAGTTCCGCCAGGTTTGAGTTGGTTTGAGTTTTGGAGCCTTTTTCAACATCTCCGTTTCTGACGGGACCTAAAAACAGTATGGCCCAGACCACTAAAGTTAACGCAATGTCAAAATAAATTCAAAATGTTTCATTGACTAGAAGAATGTTTTTTCATTTGATTTAAATTTTTGATTTAATTATATTGCTTTGTATTCTTTGTGGCTTTCTTTAATTCCTGCAAGTACTTCAGCATTGTGTTCAACTAAACAGGCCCTTATTTAATCTGAGTAAGTAAATTGCGAGTAATTTGAAACTAGAAAATTATTAAAATTTATTACAGATATGTTGGTGCACCAAATGATTTTTCCTAATGTGACAAATCTGCTGTGGCTCAGAACAGTTTGGGAAGCACTGGTGTCTCAGAAATATTTGTCATGATTATTAACCCTACATACACCTGCATGCTAATGCTACATTTATCTTGCTGTGAATCCATAATCATTCACTGACCTTCTAGTTCCTCCTCTTCATCTTCATCATCGCTGGACTCACTGATGTGCACCGTGATGGACTGGCTAGTCACAGGACTCCAGTCAAAATAGATTCCAAATCCAATGTCGTATCCATCTGTGGCAAACTCCCAGCAGACTTTTTTGGCCTCGGGGACAGTGGGAACGTGAACCGTCATGATGTCACCTCTGTACACTGTCACCACACTGTCCTTCTCCTGTTGAAGCTTAGCCTTGAGCTCCTTCAGTGAAGCAGATGTCCATGTCGTCGGCGGACTCAGGTCCGGCATCTGGGCTGCCGTAGGGAGAACATTTCAAATGTTCAAAGTTAACAGAAGCAAATTTTACACATCGGAAGTAAAATAATTTTTCTTGTTTTAGGCTTATCACTGCATACACTGTATAATCCATGATGCTCGAGAAAGTCATTATAAAAGACACTAGTTCTAATACATCTATCCCTTTTTACCAGATTTTGAAAAAATATCTTCAATTGACAGAATATATCAGTTTGTGTTTGAGATAAGCATTAATTTTCCCACAGACAGATTTTAGATAAACACCTCATGACGGACACATCTCAGCCAGCGCTTTGTCACTAAAGGACAGCACCTCCCAGTTTAAATACTTCCTAGTTCTAATTCATCTAAAACCTGCAACAAAAATATTTTACTGAGAGGTTTTTAACTGACAATAGTCAGTCCTCACCCAGGCTGAGCTGTGAACCGATCACACCCCTCCCCCCGTGATGTCTGTGCATCTGCCATCTTTTCACAACAAGTGGAATCCCTTGACTTTTTTTTTTCCTAATTGGTCTATATATATATATATATATATATATATATATATATATATATACATATATCTTACCAGAAAAGTCACATACTTATCATGTACCTATACACATTAATTTAATTATTTACTTATAGAAATACAACAAGTGTGATAAAGAAAGTGTCTAAACTAGTCTAATCCTAAAGCCCCATTGCCAGATAAACACTAGCAACATGAAAGACAACCCAATCAATCAGAAAACATTCTGATCCTGATCAATAAATACACTGATTACTTTGTGACTCTACACCAGTGTAGACACTAATGAGCCAGCTGTGACGAGCATGTGTTAATGAGTGAAATCAGCCAAAGTCACTTCAACTTCAAAAGGCCTCAGTCTCAGTTGTGTTACACTGTGGACATTAATAACTGATTAATGAAGCCTCCAGGTCTAACCCTTCAGATGAAAACAGACTCAGCAGGTCCTCACTTTTCATCTCGGCGGAGAGTTGACAGCTCCCAGCACTGTTGTTCTCCTCGCCTGCTCCCCCAGGGGCCAGCTCAGCAGGGGCCTCTTCATTATCCTTCAAATGCACACATACACGATTCAGTATTAGAGAAAATGACATTAGAATACAACTGCATCTTTGTTTGCCAATGAACAAAGGCATATTTCCATAGATCTGTGAAGATTAACCACTGTACCTCTGATGGCAGCCCAGGATCCTGCTTGGTTTCATCCATGTCGGTCGGGTTTTTAGACAGAGACAGGTCTGTACTCTGGAGCCTGGAAAACACGACACTTATTAGGTGATGACAAAAACACAGTGAATATATTCTTATTAAAACAATTGATTGTGATACAGTAGCAGCAGGAAGACAGGATACAGTCAGCAACAGGTCTCACCCGTCCACTGGTCCGTCGTCGCACTGTTGGGATGTTATTCCAGGGAAAGAAGAGAAAGACAGGGATGCGAGTCGAGACTGCAGCTCCGACGTAGCCTCTAATGTGTCCATGGCTGAAAAGAGAAGAAGCGAACACTTAAGCCTGCGTGGCTACAAAAAAAAAAAACCAGGAAGCTCCGCCTTTCGCAACCAGAGAGATGGGGAGAGAGGGAGACGACAACAGAGGCATAGCCTCCATGCTAACAGCAGCTAAATAAACCCAAACAAAATGTTACCCGACACTCGCATTCAGTGTTGACCACAACAGAAACGACATAGTAGAGTGGCCCAAAGCACTAACGTGTGTCGCATTTGTTGTGTTAAGTAACTAGCTCTGTTTTAAACTGACATTAGCATCCAGCAGGCTAACTCCTGTAGCTTCCTCTTTAGTCCCCGACCGGACTGTAAAAGTACAGTGGAGTCAATAAACACAGCAGAATATTCTCACCGAGACAAGACGACGATAATCGACGCAGTTTCACCGTAATTCAGCTCAGGTCATCGAGGAGAATGTCTCCACATCACTGCAGCTGTGTGGAGCTCACTGACTGTTACTGCTGCTGCTTTAAGGAGGAGGAAAAACTGATTTTTGAAACTTCCGTGTTTTCTCGAGTGTGGACGAAAATGAACGAGTATAAAAAAGTTGGTTTCCGTCAGTTAGTTAAGTTTAACCAAGCGGTCAAACATAAGCGTAATATATACCCATATTAGTATTCACTAGTAATAAAAGAAATGACGTGACGTCCTTAGTATTATTATTGAGATGGAGATGAAAAGTTATGATAAAGTCTGAAATCGCCTTTTAGACGGAAGGATTTTTGAAACAAATCTCCATAATCACAAACTCCGTCATAGTGAGGATTGTAGGGAGGAAATACAGGCGCAGTAGTCGCCCATTAGCAACGGTTGTAACATGTCCATTTTCTTTAGTTATGAGCGACACGGCTAACAATGTGTTCCGTTTTATTTTTCTATTTGTATAACCGACGAATTGTAGTAATTTCTTTTATTTGTAAAATGACTGAACCTCGGAGTGAGTTAGTGAATTTTAAAAATGGAACAGAAAAGAATAAGACATGTGGGCACCGTAGAATATATTATCATTAATTACCATCAATATTTCCATGCTCGTAACGTAACGTAATTTATATAATTTACACGTAAATAATATGTAATTTTTAAGTTGGACAAGAACCAAAGCAATTGTGTCTCCTTGAACTGGGTATCAATGAGAGACAACCAAGGAAAATACCTTGTAAAAAAAAAGGACATATTGATGTTATGGTTGTTTTGGGTTTTTTTAACTGTTGGTATTGGGTCCACATGATTAACGTTGATGTGTCTATACTCACTCATCTCTGAGAACACTGCATGAACAGATGAGGTGTTCTGGCTTTAGCAGTGTTCTCATGAACAGATGAGGTGTTCTGGCTTTAACCTAACATTGTTTGTTGACTTATCAGTGAAGAGGATGTTGGTGACAGTGATGGTGTCACTGGCTGACACTGGCAGCTGAGGGGCAGAAGGTTAGCAGGCTGTAGTGTACAACACTGCACACATCCAGTTCACACTGCAGGGAGCTGCATGTAACACATTTGTCAGTTATTTTCAGTCAATTTAAACATCAATTTGAACATTCAACCACAGAAACTTTCACTTCCTGTCCTGGTTTTCAGTGTTGTTTTTATATATATTTGAAACAGTCAGACAGTTTCCCATTATGGAGACTGGACTGCACAAAACTTTATATTAAACTGGATTTAACACATCTTATTATTTTGTCAATACTCAAAATTACAGGTTGCAAATAAATGTTCAAAATATATTTATTTTAAAATAGTCTAATCCACATGTCAAACTCAAGACTCACAAGCACAAGCTTAAAAAGAGTTTGTTTGCACTATAATAAAGTCCATGCTGTTGATGTGGGCCCTCAGTGAAAATGAGTTTGACACCCGCGATCCAATCAGACAAAAACATTTTCCCCTAACATCTTACAGTACCTGAGGGGCCAGGGGCCCACAGACCGCCTGCTGAAAAACTCCATTCTAGGATGATGCCTTTATGTTTGATACACAATTGCATCAAGTCCCAATGTGCTTGGGAGTTAAACTGGTCTAAAACTGTTGTTTTCAGTTTTAATTTTCAGCGTGATTCACCCCCAACATCAACTTCTCCAAGGCTCCAATAGGATTGGAAACATTTTATTTGTTATATAAGACAGATAATAATTGCTTTGAATCTGTCAGCACAGGATCTCTCAAAGCTTTGATCAGATTAGTGCAGCCAAGCCAAACATGTGCGGTATCACCACCCAGAAAACCAAATACTGAGGTTTAACAATGTAGTCACGTCCAAGAAGCTGAGGTAAGCTGCATTTTACGAAGAAGAATTTGGCAGCAATGAATATTAAAGTCAACAGGAGCTGTGTGTGTGTGTG